TCTGCAAACACAGTAGCTTTTCTGCCTGTCAGAATCTAATTACCGTACTTCATTCATTGTAACTGTCACTGTTCCCATGTAACTTGAGATACTTCGGTTTGTTTTTGCAGTCTCTTCCAGAACTCACAGAAAGAGCTGAAGGTCTTTCCCAAGTGTTAACTTGGCAACCAACCTTGGAACTCTGCAAGCTGCGGCAAGAAATCTTTGCTGGTAGCAAGGCAAAGGAGGAAAATAATGTCCAAAATTTTGTACCACCAGGAGAAGTCACACCAACAGACACTGACACCAGTAAAAATCCTTATGTTTTACTAAAAAGAAGGAAAGCTGCAGATTCACTGGAAAGAAAGCGCTACCCGCTTCGACGGAGGGAGATTACTCTCCGCTTATGAATTTCTCATTTCGTATTTTCAGTTTGGAATCTCTTGTTTCATTTGCTCCATCGTTTCTCTTAAAACTTGTCTCCTCTCAGTGCTGTGTATGGGAGCTTCCTTAATTAATCTCACTCCTTTGTGTTTTGTATCCTTCAATATTTGTCTTTTTACTGTCATGCTGATTGTACATGAAAACCGATGCATACCAGTAGCATCCAATATTAAGCAAGTGTGTTTGCCTTTTACCTCCCTTTTTTTTGCTCTTATGTTGCAGCACTTAGCTCGAGTCCTTGCGCTTCTCAGAGTTCATGTGCATGCTTTATGTATGTGGGCAGCCTTTAGGAAACCACTGAATGCTCATTTACATTCAGCATGCCTCTAAAGAGGTTGGAGAATGTCTAGTTCTCCTAATGCACCTTCATTCATTACTGAGTCATGTGGCTTTTATTTTAATAGATGAATTCACACTGGACCGTATTGAAAACACCAGATTTGATAGGATATTAGAGTTTTTAGAAAATCCATGCTCAAATGTGACGTTGGTCCCTGCTATTCTGCCTTTCCTCAATATAGGTTATATAGACTTATTTATAGCCATGTTTGTTTAAACTTGGATTTTTAGTAATTATATGTATTTACTTGCAGTGTGCTCTTCTAAATACAAATTTGACCATCAACATCTTAGGGTCTGATGTTTCATTTCACGTAATCCAGTTATGCAGTCTGGGGGTTTCCTGGACAGTATTTCTACACATTACAGGATCTTGACTTGGGTCGTGTACGCATATCTGATGTTTGACTAAACTCTAAAGTACAGGATACCAGTAAATGGTATTCAGTTCAGCTTGCTCACTTTTGTTTTCTTTACCCATTAGTACCTAGAGGATTGCACAGTATTACTAGATTGAGCATTGTGCCTTAACTATTTATAGCCTTTTCTGGTTTATAGTTTCACGTGCTTGCAGTAAATACTGATGTCTGATATTTAACATTCCTTCCACGGTAAGTGGAGGGGGTTTCTAGATGCTTTATTAATGACATATACCGTGGTAAGAGGATAGGTCCAGCCTAACGTTTTAGAGACTGAAAATTCTCAATAGAACGTGACAGATTTTAGCATCATTTATTTTGTAAAGGTGAGCAGCTCAACCGAGACTTTGTATATGTAATCATATGTAAATATTTTTCCAGTCATTCTTGTAAATACAAATTGTGTTTTTATATGAAGTAAATAAAATCAATTGAGGAAGATCAAAGTTTCAGATCATGTCAGTTCTAATCCTGGAATAGATGGTGACTGAGCAGTGAGCGTACTTCAGAACACATCTGAGTTAGGTTTTGGCTTGAGTAACTGAAGTAGTTCATTTACTGCCTTTGAACTCACAACTGTTATTAATCTCAGGGCTACAAAGCATCAAATGTAAGAGAGGACAGGATGTGAGAGGGACTGGAGCTGCAAAGCTGTGGAGCGTGTGACTGAGACGGCTTTTCACACAGCAGCTTGCTATTTTAGCTGCTGTGAGTGCCTGTGCTCCGTGTGGCATTGAAAATCCCCACCATGGCTTTCTTCACCAAGATCCACCGATACCCTTTGACTGTTCCCAGATAAAGTGAGCCCTGCAAGATTTTGCATGGCTACCATTATAGTATTTGAACATTTTCTCTGTTAATAGGAAGATTGTCTGCTCTTCTTTGCGAATAATAGGTAAGTACAGAAAATAGGTGCATCTCTTTGAAGGGGTCCCATGAAAAATGGCCGAGGTAGGACAAATGCCTTACAAAATGCAGAGAGAGAGCACTGTGGATTAAGACTTCATAAGTGAATTAATGGATTCACACTACAGTGTGTGTTCATGTTAAGAGATTGCGGGATAGTCGGTCTGTGCAGGATTTGAAGTAAGTGGGAATGGATGCCCTAAGCTACAGCAGTCAGGCTTTGTTCCATGGCCTTTGTTTCAACTATGCCTGAGTGGAAAAAGAAAAATGCATATGGAAACACTGGCCAAATGAATAGTGTAAAGAAAGAAACAAGATTCTAAAACTATGACTTTAAAAATCTCTTTATGGCTTCTTTGGCCAAGCAGCACGAGAAGGTGTTGGAGGACTTCCTTTAAATGCAAGTTCTGTGATGAGCTAAACTCAAAAATTGAATGTTCAAGTGGGTTTTAAATGGTTATTAAAATTTTCTACAGGCAGTGATGCGTGCAGCTAGCTGTGCCTGGGATCTGTTCTTCCCACGGGCAGAAATACACAAAACACTTCATTTTTTCCCATTCCAGTAGCCTCGTGTCCTTCAGTTAACTTTTCATAGGAATTGGCAGCATTGTGCAAGACAAGTGTCTAATCAGGCTTCTACTGAAATGTCACAACATCCAAACTTCTTATTTTTAACTTGGGGCGAATCAGTATTGCATCAAGAAATGTCTGGTAGTTTTTCTTTATATAGCCTTCGAATTTTGTAAGACAGCTCAATGGTGATGGATGCTTGGCAACATTTGCAAACTGAGTTTGCGTTTCTCTGCCTTTTGGGGTGAGACGGCACATCTCGCTGTCCGTTAGTATGTGCTGTCTGCAAGGTGCTTACTGCTGGTGAGGCTGGGCCATCCCCACCCGAGAAAAACTTGCAAATTAGAGCACACTTTTGCTGTGTATGATTTCTGAGCAAAGGGGATTACAAATGGTGCAGGGAAGCTCCTCTTCCATAAATCTTCTATGGACACTATCAGCACTCTGAGACCCAGTTCTGATCTGTACCTTTCTCCAGAAGAGCCACGCTGTGCTACGCTGCGATCAGTGACTCCAGTCTGTGAGTGTGTGTAGGCTGCTTCAGTGCAGAAAAAAAAAATCACTGATCAACTGTCATTATAAAATGTAAACTCAGCTGACTAGGCTGCTTTCTGGGCTTGTTTTCTCTCCTGCACAGAAACGCTCTGCCTTTACTGCTGCACTACCTGGAATTACTGTGTAGGCATTTCTACAGATGTACCAGAGATAGCTTTAATACTAAGTAGAAACTTGTTCTCACAAGCAAATTTTGACTTGTCATTTCCTTTGCCATTTTTTCTGAACAAGAACAGACTCTTCAGGCTCAAGGGTACTGTCCCCTGGCTTGTCCCATACTTGTGGTGTCCTGGAAACCTTATTCTGCAGCTGCTGGCTGCATACACGGCAGCACTGCTCCTAGAACAGCCCGAGAGCTTTGTGTGGGGTCAGTTCTAAGGTCTCTCTGTGAAATAGGCTTATTTTCCCACAGAACACACTGAAGGGCTGTTGAGGTGTTTTGTCTGTATGGTTCATGGGTTTTATTGCAAAAGACTATACCTGTTCCCTGAGCTTATGAAAATACCAGCTTCTAGTCCTGCTAATTGCAATTGTGCATTAGCTACAAAGGCAGCAAGAGTTCAGTTGCTCCTTTTTATGCAACTGTCCCAATTAAGTCTCTGCTTGTGCCCACACTTCTTTTTAATTGCATGAGGTGTAGTTAATGCAAAATTGGATTGTTTCACTGTTTCAAAGGAGCAGTTGAGAGCAGTTCACCCTCCAATAACTCACTGCCTGGTGGCTAGGACTGCCTTCCAGGAGGTGCCAGTTTGGATCCCCTCAGCTAGAGAATGGCACTGAACCCACACCTTCTGTCACCTCCATGAGCACCCCCTTGGTGAACATCCTGCTCTCAGCATGTTAGATGACAGAGGAAAGGAGAAAAGAAGCAAAACTGCTTCTAAAGAAACCAGGGAGCATCCTATATGATGCGTGGGAGACCCAGTGCAGCTTGGGGGATGTAGCTGAGGTCAGGGTATTTTGGCAAGGGTGCCCATCCCAGTTGGGGTCCCCATGACCATAAGGGTGGGGGAGACTCACAGCTTCTCAGAGCTCCTCTGGGATTGGAGGGGCTCTGAGAAAGTGCAAAAGCAAACTTGTGGGTAGCCTGGAAGATGGAGACACAAGCTACTTTGAGGTGTAACAGCTGGGGAGAAGTCCTTGCTACTGCTCAGGTCTTTCAGTCATCCTGATGGTCCCAGAGCCCACCAGGAAACCTGTGGCAAGAGTGCAGACTTTGGTTTGACTCCTAGAGTCCCGGCAGCACAGTTCTCTCATCTTCAGCATGAACTGTTAGCCAGATCTTCCTGAAAGGATAGTCTATATTTACTCACTTTTCAAACATTTTAACCTCATCTTCATCTAAGCTAGATGACTCAGGCTTCTGAGGAAACCAGAAAAATAGGGAAGTATCTGATTTATTAAGATACCTGGGGCTTTATGACTGACTGTCCTGCAGTCTGGGGGCACGTACCCTCTTCATATGGCTGTGTGTTTGCCCCTGTGAGTTGAGCACAGCCAGGAGGGCACATTAGTTTCAAATACTTCTGCAGTAGAGTAAGGATGTTGAACTATCTGTCAATGCAAACAACCCCTTCCAGAGCAGAAGGCCAAGGTAACAGTGTAATTAAAATGCAAGGAAGGTGTTCAGAAGGGTAAAAGAAACTTTGTTAAGTTTGTTAAAATACTCTCGACAGAACAGCGAAACAGAGAGATTTTTGTCTGCAGCAACTGTGTTTTCAGCAGTCCCTGTCTGGCTTCGCCTTTACAAGAAGTCTGTGGCATTTCCTTATTATTTAAAGGAACAGGGCGAGTAGCGAAAGTGAAAATCTCTCTATCCCAGCACGGATGCCGTGTCCTCACGCCCGTGACCCCGGGCTGAGCCGGCTGTCCCGTATCTGGAGCTCTCGCCGCTTTGGAGAGCTGATGTCGCAGGGGCGCGGCGGGCAGGAGCGGTCGGAGGTGAGACGGGAGAGAGACACACGGGGGGCACGGCCGGATCCCGGGGGGGGCAGCCTGACCTCCCGGCACCGCCGCCGGCAGGAAACTCGGGTAGAAGGGAAACGGCGGGGAGCTTATTTCTGCAGGCGAAAGAGCGAGCCAGGCTGCCCGGAGGGGCGCCGAGCCCGTCGGCCCCAGGGCCGGGGCTCTCCGGGGGATTTACAGGCAGCTCCTGCCCGGCAGCGCCGTGCCCCGGGGGTGCGGGCTTTCCCCCGGCTCCCGGGGGCTGAGCAGCCCCGGCGGTCCCGGGGACGGGACACTGTTGCCGTCGCGGGGGGGCTCATGCCCGGGGGTGAGCAGTGCGGGCCGGGGGCTCCGGGCAGTCCCGGGGTTCGCTCTTCCTTGGGCGCGGCGCGGCCCCCGGCGGGCGCCATGTGAGGGCCATGCGGGCGGCAGGACGGCAGCTCCGCCCCCGGGCCGGGGGGTGCCGGCTGCCAGGTGCCGGGGCGGTGCGTCCCCTGCCCTGTCCCGCCCCAGCCCGCCCTGTCCTTCTACTCCCTGCCCTGCCCTCCCCTCCCCTCTATCCCAGCCCCCGCGGGCCGGGGCAGCCCTGCGGGCGGCTCCGCAGCGGTGGGATGTCGTGCGCCGTGCCGGCGGCTGCGGCGGGGGCCAGCGCGCTGCCCCGGGGCGCGGCGGCCGAGGGCAGCCAGCAGGTAGGGCCGGGCCGAGGGGCTCTGCGCTGCGGGCGGGCGGGCACATGGGGATGAGTCACGCCGGGCAGCGCCGCCTCGGGGGTGCTCGCTGCCCCTGGGCATGGGTACTTCTTTTACCGGGAGGCGGCCGCCGTGCCGGCGCTTCAAGGGGGGAGAGCGGGCGAACCGCTGGCGGTGCGCGGAAAGCTGCCAGCACCGGGGCACGGAGCGGTCAGAGGCTTTTCCACGGGCGCGGGCTGCCGGGAAGGGAGCTGGGCTGCCCCGCCGGCAGCAGGCGCGGGGGCAGCGGGAGCTGCCGCTTTCCTCGGCGCTGCTCGCACCTCCGCCCCGTCGGCAGTGCTGGGGCGAAGCAGGTGTCAAGTGCTGCCAGCCGGGCAGGTCCCCGCTGCGGGTGACGAGAATGCCCACGTTCTCCCATCAGCGGCAGCCGTGTGCCCGCGGGGCTCTGCGACATCCCCCGGGCAGCCCTGCCGGCTTCCATCCCTCCACCTCAGGTCCCACCTGTGCAGTGGGGCAGGGGATGCTCTGTCCTTTGCAGTGACTGTGGGACCAGTGGGATGCCGGCGGTCGGTGCTGTGACGTTTAGAGTATCTGGTCGTTCTCAAAAACGGTTGCACGCCTGAATTAGGGAATCTCCACATGCACCTTAAAAACTAACAAAGTGTTTCTGGCTGATGTCTTCCAGAGTCATGAAGAAGATGACAGGAAGGTAAGGAGGAGAGAAAAAAATCGAGTTGCTGCACAGAGGAGCCGGAAGAAGCAAACTCAGAAAGCAGATAAACTTCACGAGGTGAATGGGTACTTGGTGTTTTGCAAGCACAGCTCGGGTACTGAGTGCGGGACTTTACAGTAAATGGGAATTCTTAAGCAGGCGTGAGCCTGTCTTCATGCTACCTCAGCTCAGAGAGCTGTGGGTGTGAGGCAGAGACAGGTGTGCTGGGGGATACCTGCTTGGGAACTCCCAGATATTGATGTTCCTGTTGGACAGTGCAGCTCTGCTATCAGGGACACTGCCGGGGAGAGAGACATGGTCCTGCCCTTGCCTCAATCTCCCTCTTTTGCTGTTCCTGTGACCACCCAATGAATGGGATCACAGGCTTCCTCTGTGCTGAAACAAACCCATTTTCCTCTGGATTAATGTTAAGCTTGCCCCCTTTGCTATGGCAGTAGAAAAATCTTTACTGTCTTAAAAGGGAGAAGGTGATGGAGGAGGAGACGACCATGCAATGGCAGTGCTGGTTTGAATCAATTCTATAACTATGGTGCTAGCACAGCCACTAATCAACATGGTGCCCAGAAATACCCAGTTGAAAAGTCTTCTTAAGAGCTTCAACACCTGCAACTTTGAGAGCTTGGCTCAGTTAGCTGTTGTACTTGTATGCACTGATAAATAACATTTGATGTTTAAAAAAAAAAAAAAAAAACACACACAAAAAAGCGCCAAAACCACAAACAAACAAACAAAAACAAACACCAAAAAACGTGATTCTTCCAGAAACTCTTAATATCATAATGCAGTGCAGCTTTCTTGTGTCCCCAGTGCAAACACTGGAGGACAGAAATCCCTTTCCTCTGGTTTTGGATGTTGCCTCATGCAAAAATACTTCTGTTGTAGCCAGGTAAGTGTCAGCTTTTGGGGTGTCAGTTTTTAGGGTAAGTGTCCGTTTTGCTGCTGCAACTGTGGCTGAGTTGTTGTTCAGCTCTGAAGGTTCATCATGGGCTTTTTGTCTTTCTCAGTGTGGAAGGATCTACCAATAGTCATGAGAGACCAAGAGGGACAATGTGGGGAGTTTTGGGTTTGGTTTTTCCCAGATCTCCTCTGAGTCAGCGCCTGAGAAAGACAGGTGCAGAGTACTTCTGTAAAGGGGTAACCCCTGGCTCTTTTGGAATAATTTCTGGTCCCCTGCAGCCTCTCAAATATTCCTCCTCAACCTGAGCATCTACCTTCTGCTGGGAATCTTCATTCTCAGGCACACATGTTTTTCAGGTGCAGGCAGATCTGGTTGAATAGGCATTCATTCTTAGGAAGAGCAATTTGAAAGTCTCACCCCCGAAAATGGGACAGAAAAATGGGAGAGTAACACATTCCAAAACCCAACCCCATGGGGTTTGGGGCAACAAGAGATGAGCAGAGCCAGAATCAGTGTTGGACAACTTGGCTGGAGTTTGGCTACAATAGTGTGTTAGGAGGACTGTGCCTGTTTTGCGCTATGTGAGAGGAGGGGTGTGAGGGAGGGCAAGGAATCCAAAGTTCTGCTGCAAAGGGTAGCAGAGGCAGTGCCAGGCTGCCCAGAAGAGCACTGCATGAGAGGCTCTCCCTACTGCCTGAGAAACAAGCCTTTTAAGGCATGTGTAAGTTTTGAAGTTTGCTCTGAAGCTTTCCCAGGGAGGTGAGATTGAGTGGGTGAGTGTTGAGCCTTGGGCCAGCAGTGAGACACTTACAGGTTTTCAGTGGGCTGGCTCTGAACTTCTAGGTCTCTTCTCTTTGGGATGAGAAGGCTTAGCAGCAGGAACACTTGAGACAAAAAATTATTATCAAAAAATGTGACATGGCAGCCTTGCATCTGTCACAGATGCAGGCTGCAGAGCAACTCGAAACTCCCCTGCATTTAACAGCAGCTTATTTATTGCCAGAGAAGCCTTAGCGTAAAAGCAGCCCAGGTCAGGGATAACCAAGGTAGTGGTTATCCTTGTGGCAACAAAGTGAGTCTGGCAACTAGCTGGCATGACACTCCCCTCCTCTTGCTTCTGAGTTCTCAGCATCTGGGCAGGGGGCTACAAGCCAGCCTGGAGGTGAGCACTGGACACCTTGTGCTAGGTGGGCATCTCAGCTGGCTCTGGGGTAAATGGCTTTTCCCTCCACTGGCCCAGGTCAGGGGCTACTGTTTTCTCACCAGCAATGCCAGGCATTGGTTTTTCCCAGCACCTATCTGCAGTCAATGCTTTCATTTTCTCTGATCTGACAGTGCAGAGTCCAGCTCAGCCAGCCCAGGGCTGGAAAAGGCCACCATGAGGACACAGCCACCCATACCTGCAGCCCTGGGCTACTGGGGGACTCCTGAGGGCCAGCAGCACTTCCTGGTTTTCAGGGCCCCAAGAGGAATCCCAGTGTGGTCAGGGCACAGGTCGTAAAGCACTTGCCCTGTTACAGCACGCAGGTTGTGTCCGTTTTTCCTTAGAATTTTGCATGTTGTAGTAGGAAACCACACAGTTATGTGAATGTTATGTCAAGGTGGAAGCACTGAAAGAAGAGTTTTGACTAAGTTGGTTTGTTTTTTTTCTTTCCCCTCCTTCCAGGAATATGAGTCTCTTGAGCAAGAAAATACCTCCTTAAAAAGAGAAATTGGAAAGTTAACAGATGAAATGAAACACCTGAGTGAAGTGCTGAAGGATCATGAAAAGATCTGTCCACTATTGCACTGCACCATGAACTTTGTGACCATACCACGGCCTGATGCACTTGCCAGCTGCCTGCCAAGATGAGTGCTCTCCTCAATCACCCTTCAGTGTGATGTGTGAAAGTGCCCTTTACAGGAATTTTAAAGAACTACCTACTCATGGTGCAACTCTTCCATCTAAGAGGTCTGGACTTGACGATGCAGCTCTTCTCCACGTTGAAGTGTTATAGTCTTCTGAATCTCAGGATAACACCAGTAGGGAAAAAGACAGTTCAAACTGCAACTTCTTATTTGGTAGAATCTGAAGCCATGGTTTTGCATTCAGAAATGTCAAAGTGCAGTGCAGCCCACTATCGAGCGATGGAACGTAGACAGGGAAAAGTGCCGACCTCGGACTGGGATGCCTTTCTCCCACACATCCACTGCCAGTGACCCTTTGTAACCTGCCATCCATGTATATCATGTCCTGGCTGCTGTTTTTTATATCTCTAAACAAGTTTGGTTAATAAAAGCAATGTCCCATCTTTATTATGTTCTCCAACTTCTTCAATAATCAATGTCTTTACGACATCTCTACTGTTTCTTTGCTGGTCAAATCCAAAGTCCAATGCTAATCTTCTCGTCAGTTGTTCTATTACTTGCTTGTCACCTCTTCATTGGTTCCTCTTTCGAAGTGTGTGTAACAAAAGAGTTTTCTTAGTCTTTATTTCTTTAATAACCCAAATCAGCCCTGCTGACATTAGTTCTTGGAGTGTTTTGTAGCCCAAAATATGGCTCGACCAGTTTCTAATGATGATTGTCTGCTCTGTGTGGAAGAAAAGCAAACAGAGTTAGCTGGTTTTCACATTGGGGATTTTAAAATTTACTCTTTTGATGCACCCACTGGAAATGAACAAATATCTTTATCCTTCCTTCATCTTGCTTATTGCTACTAGAAAACTATGACCCTGGATGGAACAAATTGAGTTCAGTAAGCATTTTGTTCTGTGTCCACACTGAAGGTGTTTGATAACCGCATGCAAGAAAAACATTATGTTTTCTTTAATTTTTTCTTTTTAGTTACAAAAAGGAAGTATGATAATATTAGTGAGAAATGTACAGAAAAATGTGTTTGCTTTCTATGAAGATTCTTATTAGTGTTAAGCTCTAGAATTGTGAATGCTGCAGCCTGGGATCCAGCAAAGATTGTTTTTCTCACAGTATTTTCCAGTTAAAGAGCACCTTTGGATAATAAAAAAGCTCCTCCTCTTTGCCAACTCTCTCACTTCAACATTTGGATTTTTTAAAGTTCAGCTCCTGGGATTAATTTCTCCCCTTGCCAGGATCACAGTGTTTATCAGCAAAACATGATCTGATTTGTTTGTTTGTTTGATTAAGCTTCTTTAGTAGAATGGTGCATTATTAATCACTGCCAAGATAGAACTGGGGAAATGATGTACCTCTACCTCCTGTGCCATTGTTTTAGGCTAGAAACTTAAGATAATAGGCATGAGCTGTTGACTTCTTTAAATTTTTCATTAGGTCGTTCCCGAAAGAATTTGTGTCACCCTTAAGAAAGGAAGCTAGCTTGGGCATCTTCATCCACACATCCACATTCCTTCAGGCCCTGGATGCCACTGTGTAATTTGGACAGAGTAGAGATGTAATGAAGAAGGAGTAGCGTGTTGGAAATTGAAAACAGTCACTCTGGAAAAATTCATTATAGCTTAGGATGGAGGCAGAGAGAGAATATCTCGCATCTCACATGCAACTGAGCTGAGACTGGAGAGTATCTAGTTGAGGTCAGGAGCATTACAAAAGCGTGGTCTTTTATATGGAGCCCTGTGGACCCTTGAAAATGCGAGGAAAGAACAACCATGTAATGCAAGACAGTCCATCCCAGCAGAAACCTCTAAAGAGTTTTGTCCTATAGATGCTTGCTACAGGTCTAGTTCCCTGTGTAAAATCTTCCTCCTTAAGCATTTATTATTCTATACATCTGTAGAGAAACTGACCAGTTTTTCATTTGGCATATCCAAGTTCTACTGGACACTCCTCATCAGCGAGCCCTATTCTTGTTCTGCGATAAAAGTTTTAGTCCACTGTCTCTGCACTGGAGTTTGTTCGTTTATTAATTGTATAATGTTTATTCAGAGTGTACAGGGGAAGACAGCTGAATTCACAGAAATGTTGTGTGATGGCAACAGCAACCCAAGACCAAGGTTATGTTGCTCTTCCTTGGAAGAACTGGGAGCCTTGCGGCGGCCGTCACTCTCCCCAGTTTCTTCCCACAACCACAGGGTGTAGCTCTAGCCTGTGGATCATTTCCATTAGTAACAGCAGGCTTTGAACCCTCTGGGGCCTGGACTGCTTCTTCCTCCTTCATTTCTTGCATCACTTTTTTTTTTTTTTTTTTTCCCCAGTAATATTTCCAGAGGGCCTTTTGCATAATTCTTCTGTTTAATAGATTAACCAAGGCATCTCGGCAATCAGTACACTGTGTGACTAATGTTCAAAGGCAGCTGGGATCCTCAAGTAAAAGAAGGGAGCAAAACGAGTGTCCCAAGGCAAATAATTCCAACATTTTGATATATCTGTAGAATTAACGTCAAGGCTGAATCATAGGTCAGAAAGGACAGTGAACTGTTAAAGCACTGGCTTATGTACCCCTAAGCAATTGGTGTGCATACATACTGATTACACTTTTTGCAGGAGCTGCTCATAAAAATATTGATTTACAGGAAGTCTCAAAACAGAAAGCATGTTCTGGAGCCTGGGATAATTGTTACATGAATAGGGAACCAGAAAGGAGAACAGAAAGGAAAAGGCCCATTTGTTAAGGAAGCAACAGAGAGTTTTTTCAAATCCTAACCTCTCCTTTTGCAGCAGAGTATTACACCATCACAAAAAATGCTTCGTACCTATATATGGCTAAAGTACCACTTGACATACTCTAGCTTCTGAGAGCTTCCAGTTGGTTTGACTTGTTCCCCACAAAAATGTGGTCTGTATTACATTCACATCCTTTTCAGAATCAGGTATGTAGGGAAGATCTTTTATACATTCAGATTGTGGTTCATGTGATGCAAACTGTGAACTGCAGTCTTGTTTGTGGAGGTGCATTGTAGATGAGAGCTGCTAAGAAAGCTGGATTTTACCTCTTAGGCTGACAGAAGGTTACAGTTTGTCTAGATTAAGTTAGTGTGGATTTCTTTTTCATATTTTCTGTGACTCTGATGAAGAAGCAAAATGCTTAGTGCAAACTTACCCACAGATAAAAGTATTCATTTCAGGAGCAGACTGGGTCCAATTCAGCTATTTATCTATTAAATTCTTTGGTTGTTGGGTCAGATTTAAAATGATCATATTTTAAGAAGATAATTTTAGCCTTCAAAGCTAAAAAAAAAATCAACAGAAAGACAAAGTCAAACTTCCCAAAATTGTGTGAGTATAAAAGAGACCAATTGTTATACTTCAAGAGAGCTTATTAGAAAGCCTTGCTCTTTCCCTCTGCTACTTTACATTCAAGTCTGTGAACATTCGTGTCATCATATATTCATCCAGAAGTTTGCTAAAACTAAATTTTTTAAAAAACAGATTTAAACCAGCCTATTCTACAGATTTTCCAGTTCTTTTCCCTGGTACCAGTTACTGTCTTTCAGTGCTCTTTCTGCAACACCTCTCGATCTCATCTGTTTATAATATTTGCAGTAGCCTTTGTATAGTGCCACTTTTTTTTTTCCTTCTTCCCGTTTCCTCCTCTTCCTACATCACTTGGTGACAACATCACTTAATGGAATCAGTATTGGAGGATCAAGGCTAATCTGTAGAAGCATAAAGAAATTGCATTTCACTGGTATACCTTGTATATGATTAAAGGCTTTTATGTGTGGCTTGTTTGGTCAGTTGAAAATTAAGGAGGGTGTCTGTGCAGTCTTTTAAAATGTACTTAAAAGTGATATAACCTTTACTCTAGCCTATAAAACCCATACTGTTTCCTGTCCATAGATGAATGCTTTGCTGCATGTCATTTGGGGTTTCCATATGTGAATCAGTCTAGAATTTTTGTGTCAGTGAAAGTGATAGATAAAACAACAATTAAAAAAAAATCCCTTTTCTCTTCTTCCCATCAGTGCAGTGATGTATTCCCATCAGTGCAGTGATATATTCCTGTTACAGTAAGGAAACATGTCTGATAAACAGGAGAAGTGGTGGGTTTATTTACTGTTACAAAGCTAATGTTATTCTCTTTATAGGAGGGTAGGAATTTTCTGTTTGTAAACCATGGGTTACTGTCAAGTGGTCACTGGAGAAACAACTTGCATGTACAGACAACATGTGGTGTGGGCACACATCCATAAGGGAGTGAAGGAATTTGAATTCATTCTTTGCAGAAATGTGGAATTTACCTTGATTTCACTGGAAGTAGAAGCAGTCCTACAGCTGCCTCAGGGGACATGCAGCACTGTGTTTACTCACTGGGTAATATTTAACTCAAGAACAGCTACAGGCTGACTGGAAGTGGGCAATTCTTAATAAAGCAACCATAGTAACAGTCATCCATGGGTTTGCATGCTCCATTTCTGGCACTCATTCAGTTTTTTTTTCCTAGATGGCTTCTATGGAAAAAATCCATAGTGACAGAGTAGGAATTTTTTCTCACTGTAAAATTTTTAAACCATGACATCAAATGTAAAGGCTTGACTATTCCGAAAATGGCTGGCATAGCTTTTGCAAATAACCTGTCCTCTACTAGCTATATGTTTGGTCTGCTCTAAGGGAATCACTACAGTTCTTTAGAAGTGGATAAGCTAAACCACAAAATTCTCGGTATAGAATGAAAACATTCACTCGTGGAGTTAGTACTGAATGATTACCGTGCTGCAGTGTCACAGCTTATCTCATCCTGAAGCAGCTTCTTCATGAAGCCAAATAGAAAATGACATTGGTAATAAGTGTGTTTGCTTTAAATTTGCAGCAGAAGAGCTTTTATTGTATGTATTTAGTAAGTTCTATAGACTTCTAGTAGAGCTTGCTACACCCATCCAGGTACAGTCCCATTAAGCCTACTACAGACCATTCCACTCAGAACTCGGTATGGGTAGGTGTCTCCAATTACTTGGAAGAACTTTCTCCTTTAACTGTCTCACAGTGACCTTGTCATACTTTCATTGTTCTAAATTATTAAAATATCAGAACTTGTGAAATTCTTAGAAAGGGTTTTAAGTTATCTCTCCTGGGATAAGCAGACTATGAGGATTTGTTGCCCCATTATAAAGTAAATCTTGAGAATACTAATTTGTTATCTGTCTTAGGTAAATAATTGAGGATAAGGAATACGCAACAAGACTCTGCTTAAATATTTGATGCAGTGTTATACAAGATACAATTGCTTCAGCTGGAGATGTTTTACAAGAATTGCAAAATAACCATGAAACTCGCTGAAGAAAAATGGCAAAAGTTATTTTGAAAAGGGAGCTATCAGGCAATTATTTATAAGTGGAAGTTCTCAAGGACTGATCACAGACTGTTCTTGTTCGGTGTCTTTG